TATAAATTAGCTCAAAGAGCGAGCGCACCGGCATTAATCTTTGCTTCCTCATAGAGGCTGCATGACGACCTAAAGCTTCATCCTTAGTGAAGGACGTGATTAAACAAATTGCTCTGACTGAACTGAGCTGTGAATGTCTGTATCTGATGAATCGGATCAATCAAGGTTTCATTTGAACTGTAATGTTAATAAAGTGGCATTGTGGGAAGAGTCTGGCTAGTTTAAATGAAGCTGTTCAGGAAAACCTTTTCCTGTCCGGTTTTCTCCTGCTCCTCAGTGACATGCAGTGATAAAGCTGCCTTAGATGACTTATTTTGACTAAACCCTTTCTTTGGTATTTTTGGAATGTGCTCCGGAGCACGCCGATGTAAACAGCCCCACTCTGCAGCTGCTCCACTGAAGCATCAGGCGGCATTTCCTCCTGTTATTATTAAAAAGTTTGGGTTTACTTTCGTCAGTCAATTGCTTCTACTTTATCCCACTGCAGACTAATAAAGTCTCTACATCATGAAGTCGGATGGAATGCCTGCTTTAATGAAGGCAGAGGTGAAACATCCTGTAAGTAAATGAGTCTGGTGCAGACGTACGTCCCGTCAGACGTAGAGCCCCCTCTGTAGGCATGGCGACGGCCTCAGACGGCCATCCCAACAATCTCCTGCTGAATCACTCAGAGGACACAAACATGCAGAGGAAACGGGCCACGAAATAGCCAACAGTACTTTGGTTTTAGTGAAGCTCTATAAAGCCCCCTGTTAGCTGCAGAGGGAGGGGTCCGCATGTTTATTTACCTGGAAGAAACGGCCTGTAGAGAGACTCTAGGTCTGGATCTCCACCATATTAAGCAGCAGGAATCAGTCCCTGTTAGCAGCTCAGTGAAAGCGCTGATAGAAACATCATCTCCTGCCATCCGCGTCCTCCTGCTCTTCATCTTTTCCAAACAGAAGCTGTAGAGGAGTCTCCTCAGTAATTTCTCATCCCACCTTGTATGGAAAGCAGCTATACTGCATAATCTAACACCTGTTCTACTCTATCCTATCATGCTGAACACATCTATAGTCCTGACCTGATCTCCATGACCTCCACCTCAGTGTATTCGCTGTTTACATGTTGGGATCAGGGTGGATGTTTGTGGATCGCATGGAGCTAAAAACAAAATGACGCCTGAAAACAAATATTCAGGGGGTTAGATGAAGGCAACACAGAGAGACCAGCCAGCCGCCACACCGTCAGCTAGGTCAACGACCTGTAGATTTGGACCCAGACCAGCAACGGTGTAACTCTGGGTCTTCCATGGTGGGGGACATACTCGGACCCGAACTGGGCCGGCCTGGGATTGGCCCGCTAGCCTCTCTCTCTTTTTTTCATTCTGCCGGTGCAGCGGCTGCACGCCTAGAGGCACAAGCCAGGCCACTTAGGCCAGCAGCATGTGAGGAGGGAAAGACGATTGGTTCTCTGCAGAGACGCAGAGACAAAAACAGAAAGATGACATCACTGCTGCTGGTGCTTCAGGAGAAGCAGAACATTCGGGAGAAGAAGCAACCTGCACCAAGTGACATGAACACCACCAAACACCATTAGGCAGAACTGGCTCTCAGGTGGAATACTGACCCTCAGGGATCTACTGCATTATTCTATGTTTCCTACCATGAGCTCCGAGTGGAACTCCACTCAGAGTGGAAAACAGCTGATCGTAACCAGGTCAAAAACAACAGAAACCATTAAAAGTCTGATATAGGGCTGATATGGGCTACAGTCTTTTTAAACAGACTTTCTTTCTAAATTTCTTCTGTAATACTATTTGGGGAAAATGTGTCTGCCTCTTTTTTAAGCTTCTTGTCGTGTTTTGCAGCCACTCTGTGTAAGAAAACAGGGTGTGCTGGGTAAACAGGTGCAGTTGAACGTTTTTGGCAGGAAGCGAGTTACATTACCCAACCACTAAACATGCAGCTACTTAAAATAAACCAGTTATCAATGCAAAATACTATCATTAATGTGTGATGATGTGATGGTAATGCATGTTTACTGAATCATTTTCCAGGGGGGGGATCAGTCCACTAACCTTCCTGCAGAAAAGCATCGGCTCAAAGTCCTTCCAGGTGCTGAAATAATGTCGCTACATTAAGCAGTTTCTGAAATTCCCTCTCTGCATTTAACCCCTCCCCTCGGGGAGCAGTGGGCTGCCACTGTGCGGTGCTCTGAGAGCAGTGTGGGGTTAAAGGTCTTGCTCAGGAACCCAGAGTGGAGGCTGTGGGGATCAAACCGGGGACTGTAACCTTCTCAGACCGCAGAGTGCTGCTCTAACCACTGGGCCATCACTCCGTCAGTTTAAATCTAATTATATTTAATTTATTAGATCCGGATGCCTTTAGACTGAACTCTGATGTCTAATCAGATGTAGGAAATAGTGTTAGCATGTAAAACGTCTCCAGCTGAAGATGATAATGGATTAAAAACTTAAAGCACTGAAGAGTTAAAGCATTTAAAGCCTTTCTATTCACTGAATCATGGAGATCTCTGATCATGTATGTAAACAAGGCGTGTAACATGTTAACAGCTGGAGAGAAACAGAGCAAACTAACAAGTTCTTCCACTAAAGCTGACTATATTCACCATGGGGGGGGGGGGGAGAACCTGTCTGATGATGCTTATTGAAAAATATAAGGCCAAACTATCTGAAGTGTTTAAGATGTCAGACCGTTGCTAAGACGATTCTCTGCTTTAGAGTATTTGGACGACGTTGCTAAACCTAAGGGCCTTTCTCCCAGCCGTCGGCCATGTCTTGGGGGGGGGGGGGGGGGGGGGGTGGCCTGGTGGATAGGGCATAGAGCTTGGAATCCTGAGGTTAGGCTTAGTTCAGCTGTAATTAGTGTTGCTCTGATGCCATTTTCTGGCCCCCATACCTGGCTGTCAGCATCGACCGATACCATCTGATTGAAATTAATGTGTGTATCTATGAAGAACTGCATCCTGCTTGGATGTAGAATAATCACCATCATGGCTTCAAGCTGCTGCCTTCCTTTGTGAAGCAGGAAACAGACTAAAACAAAGTGAATCAGTAGAACTTTTCATTTCCTACCTGGAATGGGTGACAATAGTTGAAGAAACCTTTGGTTCACAAAATGATGTCGGTGCCCTATTGGTTGGTACCAATGCCACCATTTTAGTGCTGGATCGGGGCCCCGCCCCATACTGGTATCACTATCAGTGCAACACTAGTTGTGAGATCAAGCCCCACTCCCACAGACTGCCACTCTGGGTCCCTGAGAAAGACCCTTAACCCCACACTCCTCCCTGGGCGCCGCACAATGGCAGCCCACTGCTCCCCGAGGGGATGAGTTAAGCCCCCCCCCAACACAAAAGAAATAAAGATATGCAAGCTTTAATAAAGATGCAATAAAGAAGATAATTTACATTTTTTATCTAATTTTCATTGTAAGATTTCTACAAAGGAAAATGATCATATGTGATTATCATAATTCTTAATGAAATGTCTTTTTGTTTACGCCTGTGTATACAAATAACAAAATAAATCTAAGTAAAAAAGTTAAATGTAAATCAACTTTAAGCTTTACATTTACATCTAATACAAATAAAAACAAAAAGCTCAGCTGTATTTATGAACACATGAACAGAAAATAGGTTTAGGATTATGAAAATATATTCCTATAAACTTTCCCTATAACGTCATTAAAGGACAGATTGTTTTTATGCCCTCAGAGTTCACTCCTGTAAACGTTTAATGACAATAAAGATGTATTTTTGGTGCAGCTGCTCCAGGCTGCTCGTCAGAATGATCTAGATTTATAGATGCCTTTAATGATACAATATGATAGGTTTATGGTATAATGTAATATTTTAATTCTATAAAATTCTATTCATATATTTAATATTTTCATGCTTTGTTTTGCTGTTTCCTGCTGAAAAATGAGGAAGAACATAAAGATAATTTATTTACTTCTCCATTTTCTTCTTATATTTGAAAAATAAAGCAAGACGAAACTTTTCTTCTTCTTTGGGGGCCCCCTCAGACTAAGGCCCTTAGAATCTTCTTATGGTGCCCCTGTGACAGTCTAATGACCATAAAACCTGGAGAAAATGAATTAAACTGGTGAGCATGGGCGGTTCTAGACAGGGGCCAACGGGGGCCAGTTATGGCCCCTGTACTGAAAACATAATACTCAAAGAAGTTCTAATGATGATCTGCGCTGGAACAGACATGGTTGCTGATACTGTAGGTCTTTTGGATCTATTTCATTTTTATTTATTCATTTATTTTACAAATTCTCATTTTTTACTAATTAGTTTAAATAATAAGATGACAGCTTCAGTGAGATTGAGATAGATTCTCAGTTTTCTGCTAAATGTTTTTCTTGAGTTCTAATTCAGATTTTATAGAAAACGGTCATTTTAACTCAAATTAAGTCAAAAATATGTAAAACTCCTAATTTATGAATGTATATTTACCTAATAAGACAATAATAATATAATAATGACATAAACCTAATTGAATAGAATTGTCCCTTCATGCAGCTCTCTTAATATATCTGAATCTCTTGCCCTGTTTTTATTTCATGCTTTTCTGGGCCCCCATGATTCATGCTGGCCCCCTCCTGGGCCCCTGGTACATTTGGTCTAGGACCGCCGGTGAACGGGCTCTACCTTCTTAAAGCGCCTCTTAGCTAACAGAAGCTAGCCTGCCTGTAAACACATCCTGGGGGAAATATTACCATAAACCTTTAGCGTTTGTTTGTGTTTTATTTGTTCAGAAATGATGAACTGAAGCGTTAAACTTCTGGGTTAAAGCCGCACAGAGGACCACGTGCCGGCGGGCCTGTCGGAGCGGTTCCTCCACCTCACATAGGACGCTGATGTCGTCATGCACACTGCTGAAGTTTGGGGATCTTCTCGCGACATGTCCGTCCCTTAGGGCCAAACGGGAGGGCAGCGGCTGAAGTCTCGCGATGCTTGCGGCTGGGGAGCCCGCCCTTCTCCGGTGTCGTCCGCAGTGTGTATAATAACCGGCGGAGCGGCGCTGGGAGTCTAGGAGGAGCCGCGGCAAGGTCGACAGCAGCATCCCTCACAGCGAGCCCCGCAGCGGACCCGCCTGACGCCGAAAACTCGCTGGAACTTTTAGGACTTTCTTCCTCGGAGAAGAGAAGCCGGGCGGGGAAGGCAGCAGCCATCTGCCGCCTCTCTCAGCGGGGCTTTTACTGGCGCTAGCCGGGCGGTTGGGACGGTTCACCTCCATTACTCAGCAGACGAGCCGCAGACATGTCGGAGCCACCCGCAGCCCCGCAGAGCGAGCTTCTAGCTCCGGAGGGCGAGCCAAGGCCGCTCGGTCCCACTCCCAGCCAGAGCCGCTTCCAGGTGGATCTGGTGTCCGAGGCGGCGGGCGCCTCCGAGGGGAAGGCTGAAAACCCGGGGGCCGGAGGAGAGGAGGCCAAGGGCCGCTTCAGAGTGGTGAACTTTGCGGATCCCAGCGGCTCTGGGAGCGGGGCCTCCCCGGAGGGAGGGCCGCCAGAGGGGTTACAGAACGGAGACACGGTGATGAGCGAGAGCAGCCTGCATTCCTCCACGGGGGGCCAGCATCACTACCACTATGACACCCACACCAACACCTACTACCTGCGGACCTTTGGACACAACACCATCGATGCCGTCCCCAAGATAGACTTCTACCGGCAGACCGCGGCGCCTCTGGGGGAGAAGCTGGTCAGACCCACCCTGTCGGAGCTCCACGACGAGCTGGACAAGGTAGGTGGTCCTCAGGGTCTGGATCTGCTGCTGGGACTATCCCGAACCGGTTCCCACTGAAAGACCCCAACAGCAGACTGAAGGGGAGGTGGGTCTGTAGACTGCTGTGAGGGAGGCTTTGGTCCTGGATCCCAGGCTGAAGGTGGAGCCCCCCAGGAAGCCCAGGCTCCTCTCCTCTGGTCCAGCTCGGTCCAAACGGCCCACTGAGGGGGTCTGTAGGTCTTCCTCACTGAGGGGGTCTGTAGGTCTTCCTCACTGAGGGGGTCTGTAGGTCTTCCTCACTGAGGAGGTCTGCAGGTCTTCCTCACTGAGGGGGTCTGTAGGTCTTCCTCACTGAGGGGGTCTGTAGGTCTTCCTCACTGAGGGGGTCTGCAGGTCTTCCTCACTGAGGAGGTCTGTAGGTCTTCCTCACTGAGGAGGTCTGCAGGTCTTCCTCACTGAGGGGGTCTGTAGGTCTTCCTCACTGAGGGGGTCTGTAGGTCTTCCTCACTGAGGGGGTCTGCAGGTCTTCCTCACTGAGGGGGTCTGTAGGTCTTCCTCACTGAGGGGGTCTGTAGGTCTTCCTCACTGAGGGGGTCTGCAGGTCTTCCTCACTGAGGAGGTCTGTAGGTCTTCCTCAGTGAGGGGGTCTGCAGGTCTTCCTCACTGAGGGGGTCTGCAGGTCTTCCTCAGTGAGGGGGTCTGCAGGTCTTCCTCACTGAGGGGGTCTGTAGGTCTTCCTCACTGAGGGGGTCTGTAGGTCTTCCTCACTGAGGGGGTCTGTAGGTCTTCCTCACTGAGGGGGTCTGCAGGTCTTCCTCACTGAGGGGGTCTGTAGGTCTTCCTCACTGAGGGGGTCTGTAGGTCTTCCTCACTGAGGGGGTCTGCAGGTCTTCCTCACTGAGGAGGTCTGTAGGTCTTCCTCAGTGAGGGGGTCTGCAGGTCTTCCTCACTGAGGGGGTCTGCAGGTCTTCCTCAGTGAGGGGGTCTGCAGGTCTTCCTCAGTGAGGGGGTCTGCAGGTCTTCCTCACTGAGGGGGTCTGTAGGTCTTCCTCACTGAGGGGGTCTGTAGGTCTTCCTCACTGAGGGGGTCTGTAGGTCTTCCTCACTGAGGGGGTCTGCAGGTCTTCCTCACTGAGGAGGTCTGTAGGTCTTCCTCAGTGAGGGGGTCTGCAGGTCTTCCTCAGTGAGGGGGTCTGCAGGTCTTCCTCAGTCTTCCTCACTGAGGAGGTCTGTAGGTCTTCCTCAGTGAGGGGGTCTGCAGGTCTTCCTCAGTCTTCCTCACTGAGGAGGTCTGTAGGTCTTCCTCAGTGAGGGGGTCTGCAGGTCTTCCTCAGTGAGGGGGTCTGCAGGTCTTCCTCAGTGAGGGGGTCTGCAGGTCTTCCTCAGTGAGGGGGTCTGCAGGTCTTCCTCACTGAGGAGGTCTGCAGGTCTTCCTCACTGAGGAGGTCTGCAGGTTCTCCTCATCAGGAGGTTTTGTCAAACCTTTTATTGAACATATTTTGTATTAGAATCAAACTGTTGCGCCAACAGTAAAGGGTTTGGTAGAGGGGGTGTCATGCTGCGGGAGCAGTCAGGCTCTGCCACCAGTAGCCTGTCATAGTGATGCAGGGTGAGACCGGATCAGGTCCAGACCCGGCTGGTCTGCAGCCATAATCCCAGTGTCTTCTCTTCGCTCTTTGCTGGCAGATAGTTTGATCTCTAAAGGAAACATTTTCCAGGACATTAAAACTTTTTTATTTATTTTTTTCAATGTTGTTTTGCTTCTATATGCTTGTTTTCTATAGTCTGTAGTATTTAATCCTTAATGGCCTCTTGCTTTAACTCTCTATATGCTGGAAGCAGAATCTCCCTGAAGGATTATTAAAGCTGAGTCTATAAACATGATCCAGCATCTCCTGGGTTCCCCATGGACTGGGCCCGTTGGTGGACTGGGCCCGTTGGTGGACTGGGCCCGTTGGTGGACTGGGCCCGTTGGTGGACTGGGCCCGTTGGTGGACTGGGCCCGTTGGTGGACTGGGCCCGTTGGTGGACTGGGATCGTTGGTGGACTGGGCCCGTTGGTGGACTGGGCCCGTTGGTGGACTGGGCCCGTTGGTGGACTGGGATCGTTGGTGGACTGGGCCCGTTGGTGGACTGGGCCCGTTGGTGGACTGGGATCGTTCTGTGGGATAAACTGGGATTCTAAGGGTAGAACAAGAACCGTTCAGCAGACGTTCTCACTTCCTGGTTCTGCAGATCAGAACCATGTGGGTCCGCTTTGATTCCTCACCATGCTGGAAGGAAGCGCCCATAGCTTCTCCGCAGGTGGAACAGCTGCAGCAGGCTGTGGTAGTTGGGCTGGAACCGGGCCGTGCTGACAGAACCGGGCCGTGCTGACAGAACCGGGCCGTGCTGACAGAACCGGGCCTTGCTGATGGACCCTTAGTGATGGAGCCGGGCCGTGCTGACAGAACCAGGCCGTACAGAACCGTGCTGACAGAACCTTAGTGATGGAGCTGGGCAACAGGACGTTGGGCAAGCTGCAATTTCCTACAAAAACATGTTACAACACGACGTTCCTTTGCTTGAAAAAGAAGATCTAGAAAACAGAAGCTCCCTGCCCGTTTCTGAAGCCGCACATCTGAAGGTTCTGGTGATCCGATCTGTTCTGGATGAGCTGGAAGATGAAGCAGGCCACAAAGAGCTAAATATTAGGAAATGGCTAGAAGATGTTTGGAAGCAGGAAAGGCTCCACAGGAAGTCAGCGTGAACGTCACGACCCATTAACAAGTCCAGATGCAGGCGGTCAGTTAGTTATTCAGTGCCAGGCAGCGTAGAAAGTTCTGAAGAAGCCTTATCTGCTCAGTTTATTTCTACATCTGCATTTCACAGCAGGGAAGGAACGCTAAAGCTACTATGATGGGAAAAGCACAGAGATTGAACTAATAGATTCTGCAGAGTGGGAGAATAGAGATAGAATGATGTAAAATGGGTCCCTATGTCCTCCAGAGGCTCCAGAACCAGACCTGACTCCCTTGATGCTGCTGCTAACCACCTGCATGCTAGCTGCACCCAGAGTGGACCAGAGGAGCTGCAGCTACGGGTTAAATGATGCCTGGCAGACCTGGACCAGGACCTGGACCAGGTCCTGGTCCAGGTCCTGGTCCTGGTCCAGGAACGGCCTTGACCTCACGCTACCCAGCACCTGTGGTCCTGCCTGGGAGGGGCTGAGCTTAGCTGCTGGAGAAACCATTCATTGAGTTGGTTTTAGTTGTTTCTGGTTTATATCCATAACTTTCGATTATTAGATGGAGTTTTAGAAAGTTCCAGATGTTTAATTAAAGTATGTTATTATGTTAATCCATCATTCCTCAGTGAAGTGTCGCCCTAAGAACCACCGCAGTAAAACTGCCGTCGCCGATCTGCTCGCTACGTGAACCATGCTCTGAGGGTCTGACCCCCCGCCAGCGAGTCACGGCTAATGCTAGCAGGTTTAGACGATTGGAGAAACGCAGCAGCAGGCGGCTGGATGACGGATCAATGAGCGTTTCATCATTTCAGGCTTGATTTGATTCTCCACTAATGTCCTCTCTGGGCCTCCGTAGTTTGTTTACTTCAGCCTGTTGGTTTGATTAAACTGATAAAATGATCTTATAGCAGCTGCTAACGGTTAGCGTGTTTCCATGGCTTCCAGCTGGAATCATTATCGACTCATTTTGTTCAGCTTAAAGCCGCCATGCTTGAAATTAGAGCAACTTTTATCATTTCTGTCATAAAACAAAAGGAGGAAAAAAGAATTGGTGTAAAAATCCATAAAATCCCTCAAACTTCCATGAAGGAGAAAAACTCCTGAATGTTTGTGTTGTTAAGCAGAAACAGTTGATCCAGTTTTTCCTGCGGTCTGTAAGGCAGTGCGGGGTTCTGGTGCGGCGCCAACCCTAATCTCTTCCTTGTTGGCGGCCATTCTTTGCCTCTCAGCAACCTTAAAATGAAACCTTGGTTCTGAATGTTCTGGTTATCTGAAGCGACCTGGTTAACGGTTTCTAACGGCGTCCTGCAGGCTGAAGGGGCGGGATCATCCAGATTCCACCCGGACTGCCTTCAGGTCTGCAGGGTTCCCCTCCCTCAGGTCTGAGCTCACTCGGTACCAGACGGTAGAACCTCTGGTTTCATCAGGGAATGGCCCGTCGCCGTCGGCCATCTTTCCCCTCATCTGGTTTCTGTGGATTCGTTCATGGTGGAAAACGCTTCCTTTGTTTCTGGCCGCCATCCTCCACCTGACGGGTCAGGCTTTCAGCGCCTGGGAATTAGAGAGGCCCGTGAAGGAGGCGCTGGGCTGGCCCGGGTCCAGTGGCGGAGGGGGGGTCAGCTTGCCTTTGAAGCTGCTGGGAGTGGAGCGGTTTGAAGGTCGCTGTGACCCTGCACGCTGCGCTGGAACGCGCGTCTGAAAGGCCCATCGATTGCAGCGGGTCGATGCTTTTCCACAGCCGGGTTCTGGTGCACTGGGCCGGGACTCCGGAGGTTCTGCTGGGTTCTGGGCGTGCTGCAGGATCAGGAGTGTGTTTGGGTGTCAGTGCTCTCCGGCTTCACCTTTGACCTTTATTGACCCGGCAGAGGAACGTGGAGCCAGAGCAGATTAGATCTGACCCGAGCGGCCGAGCAGAAACCCGGCGGGCCTGCGTATCGACGTCTCCTCATCGCTGCGTACCAGAACCCAGCTGCATTATGGGAATTATTGATCCAACACAGCAGAACCGCCATCGGCACCATTTCTGCTTATTGCCATGGAAACGGCCGCTCCATCAGATTAGATCCAGAACCATGGCCGGACCTCAGCCGTTATCCTGTAGGGTCCAATTTGACGTTTCTGAAGGATGTCGTCTCCCGTTTCCGGACCCGCCATGTCCGTCCTCCTGCCTTTGTTTGGAGGCAGGAAGGACGGGACTCGGAGGGACCGCCGTGGCCCCTGATGGGAGGAGGCGTCCTCTCTGACTCATGCTGGTTTGTTATGACCCTGTAGACCCCGCCCCTTTTTTTCCT